TAGCATTATCTATTAAGTAATTATAGGTTTCGGATTTTGTCGTGGAAGAAAATTGCACATGCTTAGTTTTTTCTACGTTTATTTTCATCAGCCATTTTTCGCACCATTCAGTTAGAGTAAATAAATCATGCTGGAGTGTAGAAACATCCTCGGAAGTTACTATTTCTCTATATAACACACAGTCGTCGGCAAAGAGGCGAATTGACGAGGAAATGTTACGTGCGAGGTCGTTTATATAAATCAGAAACAGTAAAGGGCCAAGTACTGACCCCTGGGGGACTCCTGATGAGACACCCACTGGGTCAGAAACGTGGTCATTTAATTTTACGGATTGGAAACGGTCTGTTAAAAAACTACGAATCCAGTGGGTTGTTTTGTCATCCAGATTAAGGTTACAAATTTTAGCCATTAGACAGTGATGTGGAACTTGATCAAACGCCTTCGACAAATTGACAAAAATGGCATCGGTACAAAACAACCTGTGCTGCAAAACGTGGAGGTCAGTGACCAGCTCAAAAAGTTGTGTCTGACATGAGAAATGTTTCCTAAATCCGTGTTGATTGCTAATGAAGACGTTATTCTGATTAAGGTGGGTTACAACATGCGTGAAAAGAGTATGTTCCAGCAACTTGCAGCTGATTGAAGTAAGTGAAATAGGCCTATAGTTAAGGGGATCAGACCGGTCGCCAGATTTGAAAAATGGTAGGTTATGGGCAAATTTCTAATCGTCCGGCAAGCAACCAGAATCTAGGGATTGCTGAAATAACAACGAAAGCAGGTAAGCTGAGTAAGGAGAAGTTGTTTTCAAGAGCTTCGCTGTTATACCGTAGGGCCCGGGGCTAGTTTTGGAAGCTAAGTGGTCGATAGCGCATGCCACGCCATGGGCTGTAATTACAATGGGCGTAAAACTGGAATCTATGTTTGGTTGCGACGGATCAAAAGAGTCATTTAAAGGTAGCTCGGTAGTGAAAACTTTGGCAAAGGCTTTGTTAAAATGTTCGGCACATTCTTCCAAGGATAACTTATCCCCGGTTGCATTGGTTAGGACGGGTACCGTGTTTTTGTTCTTGGGATTTATAATACTCCAGAATTTGCTTGGGTCGGTTTTCATAATACTTGGGAGCGTAATAATAAAATACCTATGTTTTGCCTCACTCATTGTTTGTTCAGTTAAAGTAGAAATCTGTTTGTAGTTCTGCCAGTCATCAGGATCGTTGGTTCGAGTTGACTTTCTGTAGGCCCTTTTTTTCCTGTTTAAAAGCCGTTTGACGTCACGGGTAAACCATGGGTCGTTCGTCCTGGAGCTTATTACCGTTTTTGGAATACATGATGCCTGAATTTCTTTGAGCTTGTCGCGAAATAGACACCAGTTTTCATTCATTGTACGATCCTGCAACCCAGTTTCAAGATTAACAGTTAAGGTTTCCAGCATATCGTTCATTTTTTGTAAGTCAACGCGTCCGTAGTTGAAGATTTGTTTTTCTGTTTTAGTTTTGATAGCGCGTGCCACTGATAGTGTGCAGTGTATGGCCTTATGGTCACTTATTTCGTCAATGACGTGTGTGTTAGTAATTTCGGGTTGATTCGTGAGAATGAGGTCAAGCAAATGTGCGCTCCGCGTTGGTTCGCATACTATTTGCGTAAGTTGGTGGTAATGAATACATTGAATGAAGCTAAGGCATTCGAGGCGATTATTTTGCGCAGTGACGGAGTTTGTTGGCCAGTCGATACCCGGGTAGTTAAAATCACCACCTATAACTAAAAAGCTACTTGGAAATTTGTGCAAGATGGTGCCAATTGTATCGTTTAAACTGTCGACGAAATCTGCGGGACCATCGGGGGGACGATAATAAGCGCCTAAGACACAAGGTGTATGGCCAATGTGAATGCTGACCCAGATAATTTCTAATGGTGAATCGATGTCTAGTTGTGATGGGCGATACTGTTCTTTAACTGCGATTGTTACGCCGCCCCCCGCGATGCCCCGCCGCGGTGGTCTAGTGGCTAAGGTACTCGGCTGCTGACTCGCAGGGCGCGGGTTCTAATCCCGGCGGCGGCGGCTGCATTTCTGATGGAGGCGGAAATGTTGTAGGCCCATGTGCTCAGATTTGGGTGCACGTTAAAGAACCCCAGGTGGTCTAAATTTCCGGAGCCCTCCACTACGGCATCTCTCATAATCATATAGTGGTTTTGGGACGTTAAACCCCACATATCAATCAATCAATCAATACGCCGCCCCCACGAGAGCCTCACCTGTCCTTGCGAAAAATTTCGAAGTTTGAAGGAACGGTAAGATGTTTATTTGATATTTCGTCGGAAAGCCATGTTTCTGTGCCGATAATGATATCGGCTGAACATGTGTGCATAATAGCTTTAAGGGTGTCAAGCTTTGGAAATATACTGCGGAAGTTTGCTAGGAGTAAGGAAACTGGGGCTATTGTTTGGAAGCTACGTGAGCGACTAATAGTGTGTCACCTAGAGGAGGGCTTATTTTTTGCAGAAACCTGGACTACTTCGTTTATGGATGAATCATAGCGGTAAATGCCGCGTTCCGTGTGAAGCTTGTTAAAGCGCACATAGTATTTTCCGCCGTCAGTTCTATTTGCCTTTCCGAATTCACGCAGTTTCATTCTAGCGAACTGAACCTTCTGGGAAAAATCTTCCTCAAGCCATACTTTGGGTGATTCGAGGCTTTTCAGTTTATGTCCAATGCTCAGAGCCTTTATTTGTGATTTAAAGTTCAGAAATTTTACAATGAGTGGCCTATGAAAGTTAGGTCGACTGCGACCAACGCGGTGAGCCCGTTCAATGTCGCCAACGTCATGCCGGAGATGCTTAGAAAAAAATTCCCTTACAATACGTTCCGACTCCACGTAGTCCTCATGTTCGACTACATCAAGACCCTTAATTATATGATTGTTTCTGCGCATGCGGTTATTTATGTCATCCACGAGATCTTTGAGCTCTTCATTGGCCTTGTTAATGTGAACTTTCACTTCTTTAACGGAATCAGCGGCGGCATCGATGTTAACCTTACAATCAGACACATTTTTCATACTTCGTTCGATAGCGCGAACACGAGTGTCGATGCTTGTGATATGCTGTTTGATTTCTGCCAGAGCCGTTTTGGTTTCTTCATGACACTCCTTGACAAGTGCGAGCACATCATCGATTTTGGGCCCTGGATTTGCTTCGACATCTCCAGCTGATAGCGGCAGGAGCGCAAGGCACATAGACAGTAGCAGTGAAGAAGGTTTAGGGCAAAGTACCCGGGTTAAACCAAACGCTGCAAAGAAACAATCGACATGACGGCACCCGTGTGCTCGTCTGGGAAAGAAGGTACCAATGCGTGCACGATATGTACAAACGTCGACACCCATGGCACAATTGTAAAAACACACGTGGTGGGATTTACGGCCTCATAAAGTTGTTCCATGTTTTACCCCCATACAATTGGTTTATTGATCATTTTCTCTATCATATTCGAGAAACATCTTCTCAAGCTGATTGGCCGAAACATGTTAAACTGCATAAGGCTCTTTCTTAATTCGAGCAATGGTAATACGATTGATATATTCCAACTTTTTTGGACCTTTTCTTTTTGGAAACTTTTTCTTGCCTATGTCCTACAGGTGTAATTTTGCTCTCTCAGACAAATTAGAAAGAACAGGATTAGTACCTCTATCTGCTGCTGGTAAACTTGTTTGCTTCATTGAAAACAGCACATATCGCAGCTCCTCTTGCGTGAGGCTGTCCTCTAGACCTGATGAACTGGCCGCAGAAAACTTCACGACAACAAATGAAGTCAATTCATCTGAGGACTTATATTCGCTCATCGAGACTACCTCTCCATTATCAGTGTTAGATTGCGAAATTCTTCTGCAATCACACGTTCGCTAACTCCTCAAAACAGCGTGTAGGTGTCTCAGGTAGACTCAGGCTGTAAGAGGGCGGGTACCACGTTCCACAGATGAGACGCCGAGGTAAATGGAGAAAGTGTATCACGTACATATTGCCACTTTTTGGCTTAGTGCTTCTGTAGGTGGTTATGGATTGCAGAATACACTTTTTGCGCAATCTTGAAATCTTCTAAAATTTCCTCCCTGCGAATCTTCTTTTAGATCAGCATGGTATTACCTGACACCACTCAAACTCAGCCTTGACACCCGCATACGCTTTTGAAATGGGTACTGCACGAGTAGCTTTTTTTAGAAAAAACATTTTTTCCTGCATGCATACATTTCTGCATCGAAACAAGACTCAACAAATTGCCTCTGTAGTTCTCTAAATAAACTGCTGAATTCGTATTCGTTGTTGCCCTGTGATTTCTAATTTTCTTCAACTTTGCGTGATATAATACTGGCAAGTTGCCTCTTCCTCTTGCATCAGCGTCTGAAGTCCAGTTCGCTCCGAATGCGAACTCAGAGGAGCACATAGTGATGTTTCAAACGCAGCAGTTGTTATGCCCTTGTAGGAACGTTGGAGAACCATCATTCAGTATAGCGCAATCATGACATTCACTTAACTTTACTAATGCACATCCCCTTACGTCGCAACGGTCGCTACCTGACAATTTATGGAGTGCGTTAAGATTACCACATATAAATTTTAAGATCTTGATCACATCTACGCACTGCAGCCAACTCTGCGTATGAATATTTTGATTGAGGGTACACGTATACGCTAACTACAGTTACAGTAACTCTACCGAATTCTACCATATCATGTCACCACAAAACGATGTCCAGTTTCGAGACTCAGAGCAAGCGTCTCACCGAAGCCTAGTACCTGCAGTTATGCTGCTGGTCTTTATAGCTGAACGCATCCTCAATATTTCAAACAAAAGAGAAAGGGAAGAAGTGGTGGATAGTTCAGGTAGCAGAATAGTTGTGATACCGTATATGCACACTTTTTCTGGTTGCTTGGGCGTGTTGGTACGACATTATTCACATAAAGACAGTGCCAATAACGAGGGACACGAAAAGAACCAGGAAGCAGCACTGACCTAAAACAAAATTTATTTGCTGGAACCGCGCAGCATAAACTTGAGCAGCATATGACAAATAGGAGGACTAATGGTGTCCCGGTAAGGTGTAACTATGGGGATTACCAGTTGCTCTATAAGGTGCAAATGTGGCTCAGCAGGCTAACGTACGCGTAGTGTTTTCAGCCCTCAAGAACCTAGATCGCTTTAGCTTTGGAAATTGACTTTCCCATATAATTTCATTTATTTAGTCGGTGGTACCCCGCATAGGCGTCTGTGCAAGTAGGCGTTTGGTGTGTGGCACATCACGGATCCGAGCCACCGAAGGAAGGGGGGGGGGGTTCATTTTCTCCCACGCCTTGCCATGCGTGACTTAGACGTGTCCAGAAAAACGGGTATGCTTGGAGTTGAGCCGACGCTGGGTGCTTGGATCTGGCTGCTGGGTGCTTGGAGGCAACGCATGCCTTTGGTGCCAGCTTCACGTAGACCGCACCCCTGGGCTGACCCACTAAGGTGAAATTGGCAGTCGTCTTTTTCTATCTCTCCTAACATCCCTGCATCTTCGTTTCGTCGCTCATATTCATTGCGATAACAGTTATATGGAAATTCTCCGCTGTATTTCACCCAAGGCGTCGGCGTCGACGCCAGCGACAAAGATGTAGATGCTCGCTCACGCCCCCTTATCTTTCAGTGGGGACGATCATGTGCCTTAGCTGGCGTTGACCTTTTGCTAGAACATTTCTGTTGTAGTTACCGGGCGCAGAAAGGTCACTGCAACCATTGCACAGTCTCCATTTGCGAAAAAACCGTGCTTTTCAGACAGAGCGAAGTACCAACTGAGACGCTTTTACGCGTTTGTCTGTACCTGTGAGTACGCTTTGTGCTTCATTTGCGCGTCAGAAACGCGGGGCACGTTTTCGATCTGCTTGTCATTCGGTCCGTCACCTTCCAGTTTGCTGCTATCACGTTCATTGCTTAGCCTTTGCGGCAAAGCTGTGACTCTTTATCTGTCTTGTCATCTTCTCTGTTCCGTTTACTTCCAAATTTTCTGGCGGCGAGGGTTAGCCCTGTGCATTTACCCAACCTAAGGTACTTATATTCGAATATAGCGGCAATGCACGGCTGACTTCTCCAAGTGTTTAATAATGAACCTTATAGCGCCTTCTCGTTGGGCTTGGCGGTGGGTCGCCACCATTGCCACAATATGTTACGTTTCCTCTATGGCGCACTTTTTCCCCGCACTCAGTGATCCTCCCCGAAAAGGTGGTGCAACAAAAAAGCTTCAGACTCCTGAGACCAAATCATTTGTTCCCGAAAGTATCATGTCACACACAGCCTTGAAGAAAACAAAACAGTCCAATCAATTTCACCTTCCGTCGTTTCAAAAACGCTCACGGAAGCCATTGGCCCAGGCTGCAATAAAACCAAGTCCGGGTGCCGCAGCTACCTCTTGGAGGTACGCTTCAAGTTCCAATATGGTAACCTATCTAAACTTGTAGTATTTGGAAACGTCCCCGTTTCGGTAGGCCCACAAAGGTCGATGAATACAGTGTGCATGGGGGTTCCTGATGATGACCTCCTCCAATTATCTGAAAGTGAATTATTAGAAAGCTGGTAAGACCGTATCGTATTCAAGGTCTAGAGAAAGCTTATAAGACAAGACAAAAAAGAAATGCCAACCAAACACATAATATCACCTTTCGTACTAGTGACTTGTGCGATTCTATTGATAGTGGCTACTGTAAGCTCCGTTTCAGGCTCTACACACCTAATCTCCTTCAGTGTTTGAAATGTCAGTGCTTTGGGCGTGGATTACAAAGTTGCAAAGGGCGCAAATTGCGCAGATCCCGCAAGTTTGCGCAAATTGTAGCTTAAACAAACATTTATCCGACAAATGTACTGTAGCAGCCCGCTGTGCGAGCTGCGAAATATACCATCCAACCTACTCGCGATCGTGCTCTCCTGGAAAAAAGGAAAAGGCATCTTCCAGCTTAAAGTGAAATTCAATCTAATATTTCAAGAGGCACAAAATCGGTTTGCACTTCATCAGTCCCTTCCATCCTTTGAGAATATGATCCGCCGCTGGAAATTTTAATGATGAAACTTGTCACATACAACGAACTGTTTTTTTTAATTTAGGTAAAAGGTGATTTTTAATTGAACCACCACGTGGTGCGAATTGCGTCTCACTATAGACAAAAATGACAATAATGTTAAATGAGTGATTTTTTTCTTGTAGAGGTCAATTGCTTACGATGTCTAAACATTATTTTTCATCAAAATATATTTTCTGTCAATGAAGTAAGTAGTCACATCTCAGATATTCATAAAAAGTGCAGTATCGCAATGAAAAAATGCAAACATAACACAATTTGGCTAAATGCTTGGAGACGTATGTGGCCGAAAAATTGCAATATTGTTAATGAGTTTCGAACACCTTACATATGACCCTTTACTTAACATGTACCAAACTTGGTTTAGAAGGAAGAAGCGGTACTGTAAAGTATATTTTTTTTCACAAACAACACTCAGACAGCTTTTTGGGAACCTTAAAACGCAACCACGTGACCAAAAATTTTTTTCTCTACGAAATATTATAGCAGTTGACTGTTTTCAGTGCGTTCAACCTGCACAATTTTTTTGAAACACATTTGCTATAGCCACCAAATGGCACTGGGAAATTCGGAATAAAGTGACTCTGGTAAGTGACAGGGTCACTCAATTACTATTTCATACTGCTAAATTAGTGCCATTTGTTTCATTCATGCTGGCCGGCTGAAAAAGCATAACTCCTTCCCGATGCAGTGTAGGCTGTTCAGTGGCTGTGCGTGTTGCGTTCCCAGATAACTATGCTGCTCAGTATTACATTTAAGCTGCAACGCATGCTTCGATACCGTGCAGTATGTATAAAATTAGAGTATATTTGTGATAAAAACTAATAGTACGCTTTACATAGCGAAAATGCCTTTAACATCGGAAGTACTTGGCGAAGTTAAACGCCAAATGCGATGCAAGGGCAATATAACTCTAAATAACAAGAATATTATGAAAGTTACACATGACGGAAAAAAGCGGATTAAAATGAATTGTTTTTGAACGTTAGAAGTTATGCTCAAACAAGCGTTTGCACTGTTCAAGTAAAAGATTCGGCCACACATACAAACGAAATGTCTGTTCAAACACAAGTGCAGCTTAAAGGCTTCATCCGCTACACAAGCACGGCTGCCGGCAGTGTCACGCTACGTTGCGGGTGAACGAAAATACCAGTGAAGGTGAAATCAACGAAAATTGAATGTATCAGCAACTAGGCAAACTTAGCGAGGCCCACCTAACGCGAAACCATATGCTGCGTTGTCACCCGATGCATCAACCCTAGTTATTAGCGCACAAAATGAAAAAGAACCGAAAAGAACGACATAGACACCACGCCCTTGTTTTCTGTTCTCGGTCTTTTTGTGCAATAAAAAAGAGAGAGAAAATTACCAACATGCTCAACCAAATGCGTCTTAGATAAGATTGATGCTTAGAGCTGACAGGCGCCGTCCCCGCACATGTAATAATTAGTAAACTAAAATTGATGTTCATCATGAGCGAGCCTCGTTAAACACGGCTGCCAACTAACGGCGTGGCTAAATTCTGTTTAAACTTTTCGCTGTACCTCCCTGACACACACTCACTCTGCTTTGTACTGCAAACAATCCAAACAAGAAACAAAAAACTTGCCCACATTCACACCTCTCCATCATCCCTGCGAAACACTTCGCACAAATATTCTCGCTAAATAAACAAATGCTCATTTGTCATCAACTAGGTGAAAACAAAACTGTTTGAAGCCGTTATTCTCGTGCTCACGCAGGTAACAAAGCACTGAGCGGAACAACGTGAGAGCGGTACTCACTATTTCACTTCGAGTGCTCCACAATATGACTCCACAGGTCCAGCCTTCAGGATCGTGCATCTTCGCAAAAATCAGTATTGGCAGAACCCGCCCCATCGCTGTAGTGTATTGGTTAAGGTACTCGGCTGCTGACCCACAGGTCGTGGGATGAAATCCCGGCGGTGGCGGCTGCATTTCCGATGGAGGCGGAAAAGTTTTAGACCCGTGTGCTCTGAATTGGGCGCGCGTTAAAGAACCACAGGTGGTCCACAGGTTGTTAAACAACCACAGAACACACAAGTTGAACATAGAGAACAGGCACAATTCAAACTAAATACCGACTAATAAACTCTATCGATCGAGAAGCCACACACACACCACACGGACACACACGGACACACACGGGGAGTTTTTCGCCAGCACACGCAGTGACATTTAAGACGACGCCGGCCCCTTCCCCCCCTCTGCGCCCACTGCACACGTGCAGCAGTATCGGGCGGTCGAGATAGTCTACGCGACGACACTTGATGGCGCCTGGTGGCGCTCTCACACCGACTAGATGCCGTTTAACGCTAGCTCTGGCCCTCTACTGATTGCACGGGCGCTGCTTTTTTTCCTTTTTTTTTGCAGCAGTGATGTGTTTCGTTATACTCGTTCTCCAACAGTGCTTCTGAATCGCAGTAAACATTGTGACGGTGCAGTGAGGCCGCCACAATCTGCTAAGGAGCTGCTACTCAGAACAGAATGCACATTTGTAATATTTAAGAGCAATATTTAGCGCACCTTCACCAACCTAGTGTAGTAAATTCTGGTAGAAAATTTGTCCCCGCATCTGCATCTAATCTGCAAATGTCGTCGAAAGACGATAGGGTTGCGTGTGGAGGGAGTGAACAAATCATTTATTTGATGTTCTGCGCAATAAAATTGTTGAATGGTATTCCGGAGGCGCTGCGTTAGAGTGCGTCAAGCGTGCAGCAGAGGTGAACGAGCGCTTCAAGTTACGTCACACGTGAGACATGAGCGCCATCTGACAGTTTTTTTTTTGAAAACGAAGCGCGTGGCCCTGAGACAGGCGTGGGTTCCCGTCTCTGAGGTGATAAGGTGTAGAACGCAAGGCTACGAAAAGTTACCATCACTGTTTCGCGTTACCAAAGCTTTGGAAACACAGCTTCTTCATGCAAGCGTTGCATGGTCAGTAAAGCGTGATAAACGCTATGGTCATTAGAATTACTTATGTATGCATTTTCTAGTAAAACACGCACATTTAAAATATATACGTGTTGCTAGGGTGCTTTAGATATGCGCTATATTTTCATTTGATTGGAAAACTCACAACTATGAACGCTCAAACTTGAGCAACATTGGTGGGTGCTGCGGGTGGGGTCGGCCGTTCGGAGTATCAGCTGGTGCTGTTTAGAGTATACCCGGTTTGCGTCAAGGATGGACAAACAGACAAATGAACAGACAGACTCACCAGAGTTTTTGCGTCGAAGGTCCCCAGGAAAGACTATCGTCCTTAAAAGCTAAGCTGATGGCTTTTGCTTACCTTTATGTTTCTTTAGGGACTGCGCATTCAGGGTCACGCAGGAGATATTTAACAGCACTTTCATTTCAGCAGAGACAATGCTCCTCGCAACATCGAATGCATCGGCCGTCATATTATTCGATGTGAACATGTTGTAACACGTGTGCTGCAAAGATGACAAAGGCAACAGCGCATACGTGCACCTGCACGCTTTAATGCAGAAAGCAATAACGAAAGAGAAGAGAAACGCTCTCCCATGCTGTAAATAAAAATACCTAGCTGCTGCTACTTTCACAACCTGTTAAATACTACTTCTGTCTTCACGTTGAGACAATAATATTGTACTTAGCTTGCAGTCCTTAGAACAAGAATGGGCTGAAATAAATTTAATCAATATTGACTTTTCACTACCTGCCAAGTCAGGATTTTGACCGAAGCACACCTGCTGGGGAAGTAACATAAAAAAAGAAGGGGATCCACAATAAACAGAGAGAGAGAGAGAGAACTAGAGAATGCGTTCCGGCTCCCCTAAGGAGAGCTTTGTTCGCAATTTAGTCAACAAGGCTCCTGTCATTGTGAGCAAAGCTGTGTCAAGGTCACTGAAATGTCTTTATTCTGCATTTTTATGGTCGGTGTGCTCTTTCTAATTTCCATGACGCACTTTTAAGGACACATGAAGAGGAACAATAGCTACAGTATATAAATGAAAAGTTTCTACTAAAAATACATCACGTCAATGTTCGTTTTAAGGTACCTGATGGCCTGTTGACGTGATGGTTGTGGATAAACAACTGTGCAGATGTTTCTTTGCAGGTGGCACACGTTTTACCTCCAGATTTAAAAGCTTTGATCTTATAGCGGATGGGAAAGGGGGGGGGGTGTTTTATGCATGGCTACGCAAATGTGCGCCACAGTACCTTGTTCAGGCAAGTTCGTGCAATTTGTGAGTGTTGACTAATCACGCAAGTAACACAGATGTAAGGAAGAGATACAAGACTGTTGGTTCTTGCTCTATTGAACAAGCGGCGCCCCTGTAGTATCTTCCTTTTTTAAAGTAGTTTGTGTGCTTTATCGACTAAGCAGGGTTTCGGTCACATTACTTCCTGCTTTGATTTATTACTAGACTCGCAAGCAGCTAATAGTAGGAGCCTAGCTGGTATCAAGATGGTTAATGTATACTAACGCTATAAGCGAGACTTCCCGAAAATACTGTGCATTTGAAGCCTTGTAGACACGTGTGCTCAGATTTGGGTGCACATTAAAAAACCCCAGGTGGTCGAAACTTCCGCAGCCCTCTAATACGGCATCGTTTATAATCATAATGGTGGTTTTGTGACGTTAAACCCCACATATCAATCAATCAATTGTAGCCTTGTTCACAAAACCCTGAATATAAGGGTGTAAATGAGGTTTTTGAGGGTGTTTTATTCACAAACACCTCAAAATTCAAAAATGGTGTGCAAAACGTGTGTTCATATAGGTGCTTTCATTGCATACATCGGTTTTACATTCTTTAAGATGTAAAAATTTGTACAGTGTACTACAAGATGCGGCTCTACCGGCAAGTTCTGACCACGTGTCTGCGTTGTACCAGTTAGCCCCTAGTACAGGGTGGAGGATAGAGATGGAAGGATTCAGGCGTTATTAAGGTTCGTCGAGTAGGGAGCAGAGTGGCTGGGGCAATTTCATCTGAAACACTTGCAGAGCCATATACCGGAAAGGAAACTGACTCAGAGGAGCCCTTTCCAGAAGGCTTCACATATAAATCGTCCATGGTTCATCCTCAATGCGCTGTCACTGGGTCTGAAGTTAGCGGTCGAAGTGGATGCACTGGAAGAACTGTTGTCCATGGTGGGACAACTTGCTAAAATTGTCCCTTAAGAAAAAGCAGCCCGCATTTTATCCAAAGGTCTAAACGTCAATTCACGCAATGGTATCCCGCCTCCTTAACACTTCATAAAACGCGTTTCGGAGTATTTGACGAGTAATTCTTTGTGTGTGTTGCCAGCCGACAAAGAGGGCGGTTTTGTTGTTTTGCTTACAGCCAAGTTTTGCGCTAAGGAAGGTGAAGCCATCTCCAGTGCTTTTTAAAGGCATGATGAGGTTGTTCTACCCAAGGTTAAGGCACAGGCCAAGGAACTATGTAGCAGGCTGAATCTTGACAAGTTAAGAAAAAGTGTTAAGGATGGCAGAAGATGTCACCGTGAAGTTTTCTTTAGCGCTAGAGTTCACGAACCAGACGCCTAAATAAGGATAATTGTTTTGAAGAATGGCACATGGTAAAACTCAGTCGCTTTGTTTCTTAAAGCCAAGCTTGCCTGTTTATGCCATAGTGACCCTTTCTTCATTAGAAACATCAATAAAATAATTGAGTTCTTGACTTATCACTCAATTACCGAGCCTTTTCGGTGGACACAAATGACATATTAATCAACCCCTCAAATCACGGAAAATCTTGGATGCTCAATGAGAGCCATTCTTGGCCTGGACTTGAAGAAGGGCTTCAAGAACGTTCGTCACGACGCCATATTGTGACAAATAGGCAGATTGAACCTCGGAATGCGAGTGCACAACTACGTCCGAGACTTCCTCGCGGGAAGAACCGCACGCATGCGAGTGGGACAACTAGAATCAAATGAAATCAACATTGGAAGCTCGGGTACACCGCAGGGCTCGGTGATCTCGCCGATGCTCTTCAAACTCGTCCTGCTGGGGTTACCCGAGCGATTACATCAAATTAATTGATAGACTGCACGACACGCTTTACGCGGATGATAATACGATCTGAATGACAACTGGCAGTGACGGAGAGATCGAGGATCGCTTACAGGCGGCCATAGAATGCGTGGAACATTACCTCGTAGGTACGGGACTCACCTGCTCGGCTGAAAATTACTGCTATATAGACCGGTGAAAAAGGAACGTCCGCCCAAAGAATACGTACCTTCAGAAAAACAAGAAATCACACTAACATCATCAAACGGCTCACCAATCCCATTGGTAAAGAAGATCCGGGTACTGTGGATGATGATTGAGCAGAACGGCGGCAATGGTGAAGCACTGCGCAAGATATGGCAAAGGCCACCAGCACAATGCAACTCATCCGACGCCTCTCGAACAAACTTGCGGGCATGCGCGAAGGCAGCTTCATACGACTCATACAAGTCTTTGTTATTACACAACTAACCTACACGGCACTGTTTCCCAAAGGGACAGTTGTGGAAAAAGACAAGCTTAACGCCCTCATACGCAAGACGTAAAATTTCGCGTTAGGACTGGCGCCCGTAGTTTGCACAAGCAAAGTCCTCGAGCTAGGGTTGCATAACACCCTCGAGGAACTCGTGGAGGCGCAGCAAGCAGCCTATCCGAGACCCGCCCAACCGGTAACCTACTCGAAAAACTCGGCATCACGTACCATACGCAGAATGACATCAAAGTCGAAATTCCAAGATCGGTACGCGAGCAAGTATACGTACCCCCAGTGCCTCGTAAAATGCACCCCCAACACCATACAGGACGGCTTAAAGCCAGGGCACAACGCATTACTCGAAGCTACTCCAACGATAATGAAGCGGTTTTCCCTAATGCCGCACGTTATACTAAAAACTCCCAAGCATTTACCCGAGGGTGAACATGGTTAAGTGCGAATACACGGGGTGATGCTATGAGGGGTATTTATTATTCGCACTATTATATTTATTATCACACTATGGTGCCTTTATGGTGTAATGGTTCCTGGGAATCGCAATTTGATCACACGGGGGAGTTTACGTTAACTCACTGGCGAATGCCAACGGATTTTAACTCTACTCCCCCTCACGACCCGCTTTCGACGGGAGATTGAGAGAGAAGGCGGGCGCGCGAGAGAGAGGGGTGCGCGCGCAGCTGCAGCGAGCGAGGAGAGCGGAGGAGTGAGCGAA